GGTTTTGCCTAGATTTGCTTCTAGGGTTTTTATGGTGCCAGGTCTTATTGTTTAAGTCTTTAATCCATCTGGAGTTAATTTTAGTGTACGGTGTCAGGAAGGGGTCCAGTTTCTGCTTTCTGCACATGGCTAGCCAGTTTTCCCAACACCATTTGTTAAACAGGGAATCCTTTCCCCATTGCTTGTTTTTGTCAGGTCTATCAAAGATTGTATGGTTGTAGATATGTTGTGTTGCCTCCAGTGCCTCAGTTTTGTTCCATTGGTCTATATCTCTGTTTTGGTACCAGTACCATGCTGTTTTGATTACTGTAGCCTTGTAGTATAGTTTGAAATCCGGTAGGGTGATGCCCCCTGCTGTGTTCTTTTTGCTTAGAATTGACTTGGCTATGCGGGCTCTCTTTTGGTTCCATATGAAGTTCATGGTGGTTTTTTCCAGTTCTGTGGAGAAAGTCATTGGTAGCTTGATGGGGATAGCGTTGATTCTGTAAATTACTTTGGGCAGTATAGCCATTTTCACGATATTGATTCTTCCTAACCATGAACATGGAATGTTTCTCCATCTGTTTGTGTCCTCTCTCATTTCGTTGAGCAGTGGTTTGTAGTTTTCCTTGAAGAGGTCCCTTACGTTCCTTGTGAGTTGTATTCCAAGGTATTTTATTATTTTTGTAGCAATTGTGAATGAGCTTAGGTTAATTATTGAAGAAAGAAATTTTTAAAATGGATTTAGTGTGGTCCACTTTAATTGTGCAGTGTTTGTGAAGTCTATAGTAGCGCACAGTAATGTCCAAGGCCTTTCCATTCACCTGCCATTCACTCAGTGACTCACACAGAGCAGTTCCACCCCTGCACACTCTCTTCCTGATGAGTGCCCTCCCTATACAGGTGTCTGATTTTTTTTAGCTTTTATACTGTTTGTTTGTTTGTTTGCTGTGTAGTCCATTTTAGATATACAAATACCATTGTGCGACAGTTTCCAACAGTAAGTATTCAGTACAGTAACATGCTGTACACATTTGTAGCCTGGAAGCAATAGGCTCTACCATCTAGGTTTGTGTCAGTACATTCTGTAATGTTTGCACAATGACAAAATCACCTGACATATTTCTCAGAAGATTATCTCCATTGCTAAGTGCCATATGTCTGTATATCGATGTTTGGGAAGCTAACTCAAAACATTTCAAGATAGAACTTTTAACATAAAAAATAATTTCACTTTTAGAAAAGACCAGAAAAAAAAACCCAAACAAGTAAAATATGAATAATTGCCAAGTTTCAAAAGATTGTTTCTTCTGAATTGGAGATTGGTGCCTTAAAGAACCTAAAAAGTTAAATGATTAGGAAAACATTAAGAGATTGAGTAGTTATATTTTTTGTTTTTAACTATATTTCTTAATAAGCTTCCAGGAAGTAAATGTTAGCTGTGTTTTTAAAAACATGACCTGGTGTTTAACCAAATCAGCAGCTTTAAAAATGTTAACTCATATAACAATGTTTACTGGGGCTTACCCTTGGGCTGATTCTATGGCATCTGCCTTAGTCCTGCCATCCCCATAGTTTCACACACCCCCTGCCTCATTTGCTTTCCTTGTCTGCAAGTGTTGAGTTTGTGACTTGTAGCACATTAGTTAGCTTTGCTGAGGGTCACAAATGCTACAGTAATGCCCAAATCTCAGAACCTGATGGCAGCCATGTTTGCACTCACATTGCATGGCAGTGTTTGGCTGCAGCCCTGCTCCATGTGTCTCTTTCATTCCAGGATCCAGGCTAATGGGCAGCCCTTATCTGGAACATGCTGTTCTTACAGAAGGAATAGAAAAGCTGGTAGAAGCACAGTGGCACATGTTAATACATCCACTGGCTGAGACGAATCCCTTGCCAAGCCCAGTGTCACCAAGGTAGGGAAGTATCCGTCTCTTGTAGGAAGTGACTACATAACTGCAAGTGATGTTGCAGTGTGCAGGGATGTATTGTTCCACAGAACGGGATGTGAAAGTTGAGTGCAATAGTACCGCAGTCTGCCACACTCAGTGTTTCAAAGGGAGAGGGAGCTCAGGGGTCTGCGGTCCTGATGCAGGCTCAAGTAGTTAGACTTTTTTTCTGACTCACTTGGTATTGCTGCTTTGGGCTTTTCACCCTTCCCTGAGAGTGTTGCCCTTTCACCCTGACTCATCTCTCCTTAGCTCTATCCTAAATGGTAATAATATTAACATGTTCCCATCAACTCCCCGGCTGCTGAGTAGCCAGAGTGGAGCTATTTATAACAAAGAGTATTCCTGAGCATGAGCTGAAGATAAAGCCCTTTTCCTTAGGGTCTAGTAGTCCCTTGTTGCAAGATAAAGGGAAAGAGAGATAGGAAGGAGGCAAACTTTGAGGCGGAAGAAGGATGAGTATATGGGGTTCTTATATTTTGTATTCCATTAGGAACCAATCTCCCATATATGAATTAAACCAACTCCTCTGGATTTTTCGTGAGCTGAAGACTCATTGGTACTTCTTCACATTCTCCATCAGCTCCCTGATTTGTGGTTAATATGGGAGCAGACCTTCAAGAAGTCCATCAAAATAGGTGGCTTATGTTGATGGGGTTGTACTGATAGGAGATGGAAGCCAACGGGCAAACAGGATTGACTGGGCAGTCCCTTGACAGAATTTATGCCCAAGCCATCTCCTGGGCCTCTTAAGAAAAAAGAAAGGTCAAGCAAAAATGAGCATCATCATCCTGTATTTAGGGTGAGTGAGAGAGGCATAAAACCTGCATGTGGATAGTTTTTAAATCCTGGCCGTGGTCAAGACAGGCAGAGATAGTCATAGATTGGAGCTGGGAAAGACCTCAGAAATCATCTTTCCTCTGATTCCAGGCTTCTCTGTAACAATGAAAGGGTTAAAGGGGTTTAGGCACAGTTTTCAATATTCCAGAAGCTAAGTGGAATCTATATATTGACCTAAGATAAGTTTGTCCAAGCCAAGGAAAATGTTTTTAATGCCCCAGAATTTAATTACCTGAGACAGAAGCCATGATCAACTTACTCCAAAAAAAGAAAGCTTGATTGTGGGTTAATTTTGTCTGATTAATGGAGAAACTAAGCTATAATTTAGTCAAGTGCAGAGTCATAGGTTCACTGAGGAGGGAGAAGGGAAGTAGCGGGGATCTTTGCCAAGAAAAGGCTTGGGAACTCTGTTACTTTCTATGAGGGCACCAAGGTTCATTGGGGTCATTAACTTACCCACAGTCATTGTGAAGCCAGGACTAGACTATTCCAGGCCCAAACCCGCTGCTCTGTGTTAGGGTGCCCCTGAGTTTGGAGCACCTCAGGAGGAACTCCTTTCCTCAGTGGAATTGTAAAACTTCCAGAGGGGGATTACTCTTGACTCAAGGTTTAGAGGAACTTTCAGGTGCCAGACTGCAGTCTCCAAAGGATTAGAGGAAAACTGTGGCCACCAGATGTCTTGGGGGAGTCTCAGGAACAAACCACAGTGAAAGACACCAGTGGACAGCAGTGGCTTAAGCCCAAGGCAGTTGTGACTCTAGTGGGCAGGTGCTGGCCTAGCAGTAGGTTCCTTGTATGACAAGGTTCTCCAGCCAGGGCTCAGTAGAACATGGGGTCTTTGGTGACATCAAGAGCTTGCTGCATGTCCATTTTAAAATGAGGTGTGTCCTCAGTACATGTGACTATGGAAATAGGGGTTAGATGTTTCTGGAAGGCAATTTGGCAGTTTGCCTTTCCAGTACTCTTTGACTCAGAAATTCTGCTAGAAATCATTCCTAAGAAATTGACCAGAAATGTTCATTGCAGTGTTACCTTTTTTTTTTTTTTTTTTGAGACAGAGTCTTGCTCTGTTGCCCAGGCTCGAGTGCATTGGTGCAATCTTGGCTCACTGCAACCTCCACCTCCCAGGTTCAAGTGATTCTTCTGCCTCAGCCTCCTGAGTAGCTGGGATTATAGGTGGTCACCACCATGCCCAGCTAATTTTTGTATTTTTAGTAGAGATGGGGGTTTCACCATGTTGGCCAGGCTGGTCTTAAACTCCCGACCTCAGGTGATCTGCCCACCTCGGCCTTCCAATGTGCTGGGATTTCAGGTGTGAGCCACCGTACCCAGTGGCATTAAAAGCTTGGCATTAAAAGATTAATAAATTCAGTGACTTCATAAGTTTGACTAATACAGTCATTAAAAATGTTTATAAAGATTTGTTAGGAGCCAAAATCAATGTAAAATAAGTTGAGGGGTGTATGTATGTATAATGTAATATGAACTGTGCATGCCCAGATACCTCCAAATATTTGATCCATCCTTCTGTAAATACCCAAATAGAATTGTTTGCATCCCCATGTACTATACTGTGGGGAGTCCACCTTGCCGTGCTGTGAAGATTCCAGGGGTCTACCTGGGTTCTGATTCTCCCGAGTCAGTCTGTGCCACAGCCAGCCTTTCCACTGCTGTGCCCTCTCCTGGCTGTGGCCCTTGATGCTTGTGGCTGTGAAATCTCTTCCCATATTCTCATGGATGATGCCACCCACCTTTTTCTTTTTTTCCTCCCAAAGCTTCACTAACACAAGGTTGCTGTGAATTTTAGAATTTCACTTAGTTTGAGAGTAGTAAAGGATTATCACTACCAGGGAGGTGTGAAGATCTTCAGATTTGCTCTCTGATGTGAACAATTCCTCTGGTACGCCTAGGAATCCTTTACTAATTCACTTCACTGCTCCTAGGAACTTGTCAGTCATTTTCTGTGGTAATGGTCTTGAAAAATAGTCCCTCATGGATATATCACGTGCTCTTGTGTAGCTCCCGCCTATGCTGACTCTACGCAAGCCCCTTATAACCACCTGCATGTGACAGAAGAGATGGTGCTGCATGACTTCCAAGGCCAGATCAAATAAGCCTTGCAGTTTCCACCTTGCTCTTTTGGAGTGATTGCATCTATACTGCCCTGAGAAAAGGGAGAGGAGAGAAGAGAGGAGAGAAAAGAGAGGAGAGCTTGCCAAGCCAGGTGAGGCATCAGGCGTGTGAATGAATAATTAATTCATTTTGGAGCTTTCAGACAATGCCAGACAACTCTGCAAGAGACCCCAATTTAAGACCTCCCTGTAAACCTGTAGAAACATAAGAAAAAATTTTGCCTAATGCTACCAGCTTTGGAGGTGGTTTGTTATAATAATGAAAACATTTCTTACCAGGGAAATTTCCCATTGTCTGTGGCCTGGAGGCCAAGCCTTCTTTCCCCACATCTGGCCCCTCCCTCATACATGCCAGGCCTTACCCCTGCTTGAGGTTATCAACGAGCAATTTCCCAAACTCCTTTTCAGTTAGCCCTCTTTCTGTTTCACTTTCTCCTTTCAGACCATGTAGGAAGTAAGGCAGATGTGAATGCTACTTACATTTCTCCTGGTAAAAAAAAAAAAAAAGCCCATTCAAGGCATTTCCCAGATAAAAGGAAATCAACTTCTCTAAAGATAAATGTTGCCATTCTCTTAAAAGGTTGCAGCAGCTGCAGTGACAGTTCTAAATGCCACTCTTCCCCCTTCTTGCTACGTATGTACAAACTGTACAGAAACAGGCAGGATGAAAATATAACAAACTGTTAACAGAAAATGTTTCTCAAGGATTTCTTCCTACCTTAAAAGTACCTTTTATTATTTCATTCTCAACAAAATCATTTTTATAACACAGATATTTTAACAAATATATTAACAAATTTAGGTAAAGGCAAAAAGTGGCATCAAAGCGTCACAAGCAAAGGCTGCTGGAGTGCAGGCCAAATGCTGTGTTTGCTGCTGAGCCCCAGCCTCCCGTGCCCACCATCCCACTTTCTTCTGTGCAGGCAGGGGCTGCCTCCCATCTCAGTCACTTCTGTTGTTTGAGACAGGGTCTCACTGTTTCGCTCAGGCTGGAAACAGTGGCACGATCATAGCTTACTACAGCCTTGAACTTTTGGACCCAAGTGATCCTTGCACCTTGCACCCCCAAAGAAGCTGGGGCTACCGGCGTGTGTCACCATAGCCGGCTAATTTTTCAAAACCTTTGTGTAGAGATGGGACTCACTATGTTGCTCAGGCTGCTACCGCTGTCTTTACCAGCCTTTCTTGCTCCTCATGCTTTGGCATGTGAATAAATCCCAGCCAGTGGGCCCCCAGGTGATGTCTGCTGAGAGGCTTCTGTGAAAGTACCTTTCTAATAAAAAAAAGACAAAGGAGAGTCTCCTTTTCTTTGGCCAGATGTTATGTCTGCAATGCTGGTATCTGAAGCAACCATGTGGATCCCATGAGAACAGCCTGAAGGCCAGGTCAGTGGCTGAGGTGGAGAGGCTGGCTCTTGATGACATCATTGAATCACAGACCCAACCCTGTGACCACAGACTTCTTCCCCCTGCATATGTAGGTTAACCACTATGTGTGGTCTGTTACAGTGGAGGGCATCCAAATTGTAGGAACATAAATAATTTTCCGGCTAGGCACAGTGACTCAAGCCTGTAATCCCAGCACTTTGGGAGGCCGAGGCGGGTGGATCACAAGGTCAAGAGATCGAGACCATCCTGGTCAACATGGTGAAACCCCGTCTCTACTAAAAATACAAAAAATTAGCTGGGCATGGTGGTGCGTGCCTGTAATCCCAGCTACTCAGGAGGCTGAGGCAGGAGAATTGCCTGAACCCGGGAGGCGGAGGTTGCGGTGAGCCGAGATCGTGCCATTGCACTCCAGCCTGGGTAACAAGAGCGAAACTCCGTCTAAAAAAAAAAAAAAAGAAATAATTTTCCTCTCTCTGAGGGTCTGGGCCAGTGATGAGTGGGGCTGATGTGAAGAGAGAAGTCAAACCCAATTTCTTATGGGGCAGACAGAAAGCAGCTGTTCCGTGACATGGGAGCTCCATGCTTTGGGATACATCTTGCTGGAGAATGGAGCCCAGCCTGAGTGAGCAGCCCACACTGATGGATTGGAGATAGAAGAAATAAAAAATGCCTTCTCTTCCTTGCTCCTGAGTAAGTGGTTGCCTTCCATTTCAGGCAGCAGAGTCTGAATTCCCATCTGCTGGGAACACAGAAAGGGGCATAGCAATGTAGTTACAAACCTGAAGAGTCTGTACATCTCTCACTAATCAAGCCAACACAGTATGGAGCCAGGTCTTCCTATTTGGATGAGAAAGAGCGGACAGGGTCACATTTGCTTGCCTTTTACTGCTCACTCATTGAATAGCATTAGGAAAGGTTTACTTCATGAACCTGGCACAAAGTAGGTTCTGTGCCTGATGTTAACATTCACTGTGCCCTCTTCACAAATGAAAAGGTGGAAAATTTCTGACTTCTGGTAAATTCACATTGAAATAACTGTTTCTTGGGACACAGATCCTGCAGTTCTTCCATCCCTCCAGGCTGCTGTGATTATTTTTAAAAGTTTTTCATGGTGTAAGGAGAAGAACCGTTGAAAAGCTGTAAGTAGAGGTTAATTTGGTGTTCAAAAATCAAGTGATAGTCGACTCTATCTCATAGCTCAATGAATAGTAGGATGAGGAGAGAAATTTAACTATACTTTTGAATTGAATCCCTTTTTATATGTAGCTTTAAAAACTTGCACATTGATATTTTCTCCTCTATTGAACCTTAGCATATAAAAAAGTTAATTTTTTTAAAAAGCATTTTATATGTAGAGATGAGCTTTCATATTTCTCAGACTTAAATTTTAAAGCAGAGTACGCAGTTGTTTTGCCTGCTTAACAATCTCCTTTTTTTTTTTCCTTTTTTTAAATTTTATTTATTTTTATTGCATTTTAGGTTTGGGGGTACATGTGCAGAACATGGAAGATAGTTGCCTAGGTACACATGTGGCAGTGTGATTTGCTGCCTTCCTCCCCTTCATCCGCATCTGGCATTTCTCCCCATGCTATCCCTCCCCAGCTCCTCCACCCGCTGTCCCTCCCCTATTCCCCCGAAGAGACTCCAGTGTGTAGTGCTCCCCTGGGCCCTGTGTCCATGTGTTCTCATTGTTCATCACCCACCTATGAGTGAGAATATGCAGTATTTAATTTATGTTCTTGTGTCAGTTTGCTGAGAATGATGTTCTCCAGCTTCATCCATGTCCCTACAAAGGACACGAACTCATCGTTTTTGATTGCTGCATAATATTCCATGGTGTATATGTGCCACATTTTCCCAGTCCAGTCTGTCATCGATGGGCATTTGGGTTGGTTCCAGGTCTTTGCTATTGTAAACAGTGCTGCAATGAACTTTCGTGTGCATGTGTCCTTATAGTAGAATGATTTATAATCCTTTGGATATATACCTAGTAATGGGATTGCTGGGTCAAATGGAATTTCTATTTCTAGGTCCTTGAGGAATCGCCACACTGTCTTCCACAATGGTTGAACTAATCTACACTCCCACCAGCAGTGTAAAATTGTTCCTATTTCTCTACATCCTCTCCAGCATCTGTTGTCTCCAGATTTTTTAATGATTGCCATTCTAACTGGCGTGAGATGGTATCTCAATGTAGTTTTGATTTGCATTTCTCTAATGACCAGTGATGATGAGCATTTTTTCATATATTTGTTGGCCTTATCACGTGTGTCTTCTTTTGTAAAGTGTCTGTTCATATCGTTTGCCCATTTTTGAATGGGCTTGTTTTTTTTTTGTAAATCTGTTTGAGTTCTTTGTAAATTCTGGATATCAGCCCTTTGTCAGATGGGTAAACTGCAAAATTTTTTCCCATTCTGTTGGTTGCCGATCCACTCTAGTGACTGTTTCTTTTGCCGTGCAGAAGCTGTGGAGTTTGATTAGGTGCCATTTATCTATTTTGACTTTTGTTGCCAATGCTTTTGGTGTTTTGGTCATGAAGTCCTTGCCTACTCCTATGTCCTGAATGGTTTTGCTAGATTTTCTTCTAGGGTTTTTATGGTGTTGGGTCTTATGTTTAAGTCTTTAATTCATCTGGAGTTAATTTTAGTATAAGGTGTCAGGAAGGGGTCCAGTTTCTGCTTTCTGCACATGGCTAGCCAGTTTTCCCAACACCACTTATTAAACAGGGAATCCTTTCCCAATTGCTTGTTTTTGTCAGGTTTATCAAAGATTGTATGGTTGTAGATAGGTTTGTTGCCTCCAATGCCTCTGTTCTGTTCCGTTGGTCTATATCTCTGTTTTGGTACCAGTACCATGCTGTTTTGCTTACTGTAGCCTTGTAGTATAGTTTGAAGTCCGGTAGTGTGATGCCTCCTGCTGTGTTCTTTTTGCTTAGAATTGACTTGGCTATGCGGGCTCTCTTTGGTTCTATACGAAGTTCATGGTGTTTTTATCCAGTTCTGTGAAGAAAGTCAATGGTAGCTTGATGGGGATAGCATTGATTCTGTAAATTACTTTGGGCAGTATGGCCATTTTCACAATACTGATTCTTCGTAACCATGAACATGGAATGTTTCTCCATCTGTTTGTGTCCTCTCTGATTTTGTTGAGCAGTGGTTTGTAGTTTTCCTTGAAGAGGTCCCTTACGTTCCTTGTGAGTTATATTCCTAGATATTTTATTCTCTTTGTAGCAATTGTGAATGGCAGTTCGTTCTTGATTTGGCTCTCTTTAAGTCTGTTATTGGTGTAGAGGAATGCTTGTGATTTTTGCACATTGATTTTATATCCTGAGACTTTGCTGAAGTTGCTTATCAGTTTCAGGAGTTTTTCGGCTGAGACAATGGGGTCTTCTAGATATACTATCATGTCATCTGCAAATAAAGACAATTTGGCTTCCTCCTTTCCTATTTGAATACCCTTTATTTCTTTTTCTTGCCTGATTGCTCTAGCTAGAACTTCCAGTACTATATTGAATAGGAGTGGTGAGTGAGGGCATCCTTGTCTAATGCCAGATTTCAAAGGGAATACTTCCAGTTTTTGCCCATTCAGTATGATATTGGCTGTTGGTTTGTCATTATTTTGAGATACGTTCTATCAATGCCGAGTTTATTGAGGGTTTTTACAATAAAGGGCTGTTGAATTTTGTCAAAGGCCTTCTCTGTGTCAATTGAGATAATTATGTGGTTTTTGTTTTTGGTTCTGTTTATGTGGTGAATTACGTTTATAGACTTGCATATGTTGAACCAGCCATGCATCCCCGGGATGAATCCTACTTGATCATGGTGGATAAGCTTTATGATGTGCTGTTGCAATCACCTGCCAGTATTTTATTCCTTTTTCTTTTTTTAAGATTTTATTCTTTTTAAGAGACTGAGTCCACTATGTTGACCAGGCTGGTCTCATACTCCTGAGCTCAAGTGATCCTCCTGCCTTAGCTTCCCAAGATGTAAGTATTACAGGCAAGAGCCACTATGTCTAGCCCCAACCTTTTCTAGAAAATTCTGAGAATTGTCTAATCCACAAACTCCATCTACATGGTTAGTACAAGTCACCACTAAAATATGGTCCAATCTAGGAATCCTAACCCCTCTTCAGATCATAGAATCCTGGAGAGAGTTTACCTCTATATCCTTCTGTCTCCCTACAGTGTTTCTTCCTGCATCTTGTGAAAACCTTTGCAGATGGATCTTCTGTTCTGAACACGTTTCTCCGAGGTGTGTCTTGCTTTGTTGCTGGAGTCTACATCCATGTCTAGCTAATCTAACCCTTGTTACCTGATAGTAATTACTATATCAACTTTGTCGACGTGTTACTATAAAGGTGGGTATAAGTTGTGTTAGGTTTACAATAAATATTTTTGTTGCATACATTGTATACATGTTTATCAATTGCCTTGTTCTGAAACAGAGCCAGGCTTATTCCCCTTCCAAATGAAAGCACCAGAGTCTCAATACCTCCTGCCTCTTGCTTCTATTATGCTTTGGTCTTATGCTTTACCCATGAATTGTTTCTTTGCTTTCCATATAGAACCCCAACTCAAGTTACTCCAACTCAAAAGCATAGATAAATTATAAAATTCAAGAACAGACATTAGAATGGAAAATGAGTTTAACTTAAAGAAAAGAATAGCAGCAGTCTCATGTTTAAAGTCTAACAATTTTATGGGTTTATTTTTGCTTTAATCTTGTCATCATGAGTAAATTTTTAGCTGTTCGTTTTTATACAATGACACAGGATCAGAGAGAGCATGAACACATTAGTCTCTATAAGGCTAATTCTACCCCAGCACCCATCAAAGCGACCCAAATGACACGCCATGCATCTCGAGTGACCGTGCACTGCCACATACTCTGAGCTCTACTACAGGTAATGCTACACCAAATTGACATTGTAACTGTGTTTCAAATGTCTCTTAGAGACAAATATAGAACAGTAGGTATAATAACCTCTGAAAACTTCCAAGAGTAATGAGGTTTTGCCAAGGCTTGTTGTATTTATCATGGATAGTTGTCAGGAAATAACTTACCAGAAAGCCTGACTGATTTGACAGTCATTTTGACCTGTGATTTATTTATTAAATACAATTTGAATATTCCTAAAAGAAAAATTGCAAAGACATCATAGATCCTGTATCTTTTTATAAACAATCCCTTGTGATTTTTAAGTTGCAAGAAAATGCTGACAGAAAAATTTTCATGATGTTGAAATAGGTATAAATAAAAGTTTATACAAAGCCACTGTCTCAACATCAGCAGGATAAGAGATAAGAACTTCTGAGACATTATACTGTTCCCCCCAAAAAACACTACTCAGTTTTTTTTCCTTCCCCTTTCCCTCTATCTCCCCACCCTGTCCTTTCCTCCTTTCTATCCTTAACAACTGAGCTCCACCTACAGTTTTAATGTTACTAAATAAAAAAACTGGCTTTGTTTCATTTGAATTTCCTTTTATATGTTCTCATGATTAAAAACAAAGCAACAAAAACCCTACTTCTGATCACAATGAGATCTTTACCATCGCTAAGCATTTACTCTCTAGTATATGAAGTATATGAATTATTCTGATTCAATACGATTCTAAGGCAATTTGGCAATAGCTAGTATTATTTGGATTAAAAAAAGCCGTTGGTATAAACAGAAAGAGATGTGTAGGGGAAATGAGCAGGCAGGCAAATAATTTAGAAAGAAGAGACAGCTTCTGTGGTTAAAAATAAAAGTCTGGGATTTAGTTTTTCTTTGCCATACAGAAAACAGATGTTGCTATTTTTGTTCAAAATAAAAAACTTAAGTCCCATGATTAGACTCTGGAATATGTAAAGTAACTATGGATACCAAATTTATGATTTTAAAAATCTGACATTTAGTTTTCTGTTCATATTTGAAACCAGGAAATAATTGTGCTCCTGAATTGCCAACTTTCTATATAACAGATTCACTGATTTATACACTCAGGAACACTGAGGATACTCTCAGTCCTGGGCTGTCTTTGGGGGCATAAGGTTGTTACACTATATAGTCTGTTGGGAACAAAAATAAAAATAGGACATGGAGAGATGTTCTTGCTCTTCGCATTTTTCCTTTTCTATAATTCTTTTCTTCCCCCTAGAAAGATCCTGAAGGGAGAGACAACCTGGCTTTCACCCTCCACTGGGACAGTACTACACTGTCTAGGTCCCCAGAGGCTCCATGTCTCACTTCCCATGCCATCCTTGCAAAACTAGGTGAGCTAGTAAAATGGAGTAATTATCTACTGAAGTTTGCTTGAGTGTGGGCAGGAAACTCCCAATCTCTTATCACCTACTATTAAATGTAAGAAATAATTATTCTAATTCTGCCCTGTCCAAACAAATGTAAGCCCATTGAAACAAGTCATGAAAGATAACAATTTTCATCCCATTTGGTGAATACTGCATGTTATAATATCTCTGTTATAATATCCCCACTAGGCTGTAAGCCCCAAAAGGGCAGTGATTGCACCTGAGTGCTCACCAACAGATACATTCAATGAGACAGAGCCATTGCCTGGCACACAGGAGATGCTCTTGCACACAAAGAAGTTAAGAAAGGAAAGAATAAAATATACAGGCTCACTTACTTACAGCAATAGTAGTGACTTTCCCAGTGTACTCTGTTCATAAGAGTGCTCAATCTGTTATAAACGCAATGATGCTTTTATTTTTTAAGGAAAATCTCACATATTTTCCTTACACAAATATATATGTGAGCAGAGTTCACACTGGAGTCTTTTAGAATGAACTGTTTAATTACTATTTTCCAGAATTGCCAGAATAATCATTCATTTGAACCCACTAAAATTTCTATTTGTCTCTCTTGTCTCTCTCTCTCTCTCTTTTTTTCCTTTTTCTAGGCTGCCCATGAGAATGCTGAGACATTATCAAATATATTTCAGTTCTGTGACCTGAATTGCAGTTGTGTAAGTGCTATAAATCAAAATCATTTGCTTTAATAATTAAAGAGTAAACTGAAAGACAATACTGTAGATGTTATGTTTCAATGTGAACATGTATTTCAGATAAATTAAAAAGAACGGACACTGCTTTCTTCGTTCGTTATGGGTTTTCTCCATAGTCATATGTTATTCATTATTCTACTTTCTGCACACTGTATATGCTTGAGACAAAACAGTAATCAAAATGATAAATACATAAAGACTGTTTAGTTGCAGTCTGGGAGCCTAAATTAGAGCAGTATTCTTGCTTAATGACCCATGCTTCTAGCTTTTCCCCACGCAGCAGGAATTATACCTTTTCATTATTACAAGAAGAAGTCACCATTTGTCCTACGATATATTAAGACAAATGGGAATTTAAAACTTATAAAAAAGACAACATTTTCTTGGGTTAGAGATGTCTAATACATCATTTCTACAGGATTATTTTTAAAAATTATATGAGCAACCTGACCTATTGCATTAAATGGATTAAAAAACTCTCTAAGAAGCAAGAATATCAAATCACTGTGGTTTGTTTTTGTGAAATCGTCTGTTGTGAATTGAATACTCACTAGTATTCATGTTGGCATTTGCAAAATTACTAGTATGTTAAAACTCACTCTCAGTTGTAGCTATGACTATGTTTATCTGATTTCAGTTGTATTTGGGCACTTTAAAATGGAAGCGGAACCAGTTAGTCAATCTTAGTATCTATCAAAATTCTAAAACGGGGTATTTCCTCTTCAAAAGTTCTAAGGATTGAGGATAAATTATGTCCACGATTTGGAATGTGAAAGAAACCTAGGACAGTAAAGGTGTTCAGGACAACAATAGATGAGACCTCATTTATCCATTTTCATCAGAAAAAAATGGAATAGGGACTGCAATTTTACTATACAAGTAACTGAGAATGTTCATTTTCTCACGTCAGTGTTATCTCCCTAACTTCACCTAAGAGTGCTAAGTACAGAAAGCATAATTCCTGATGTGATAAACAATAACACATCCTTTTCCTAATTTAAAATATTTTCTTTTATATTATTCTCCCTTGATTTGGGCTTCTGTATTTTCTTAAAAATGCTTTCCTTTACATTCTCATTTTGACCACGCTGGAAACTGATTTTACAGTTTTTTATTAAAAAGTGTTCCAAACCATTTTTTTTAAAAAAATGTGATTCTGCCTGTTTAATCGGTCTTACAAAAGGAAGCTTTAAAATTAAAATATTGTCTTCATTAACAAATAAGCAAAGCATTAACTAATACTCTAAGAGGGCAGCCTGTTTTTTGAATGATGAAAAGTGGTAATAACTTCCTTCATCTGATTTTTGTACAGGTGTCAGAAATTTCTAGTAAACACAACCTATATATGGTAAAAATTTGATAATCCACATTTCTTATAAGCTACTTGTTACATTTTTAATGTCTGGGTATCCTAAAGGGGTTTTCCCCTGATACCTGACTATTATATCCACCTTTGCTTCTGCATGAACACATTATATATCATGAATTACCTAATTAATATAGAAATATTTTGAGATAATACATGGTATTGTATTTAGCTTATGAACTGCCTCATGACAAAAGGTGATGAGAGGATGTGTAGCTGACACAGTCCCTCTCCTGAAGTGGCAGCAATTTACCCAGGCAGGTTTTGTTCTGGGTCACTCAACCCTCTGTCCACCACAATCTGCCACCCATGCTTTCACTGCAATCTACTTGTGCTCAATGTCCTTGGAGGTTTTTGAGGTTAATTTTGATTTGGAAAATATTAGGTGTGATTCTGTGGTTAAATAATGCCAGGTTATAGGACTTCTAGAATAAATGAAATCACATCTCTAAATATAATCTATACCTTTGCTGCATGCTTACTTCCTGGTGGAGCTTTGAACAGTGAAACTGTCTGTGATGATTTGTTAAAATGAATAGTTGCTATCTGCTCTCCTCAAAGTCCTTAACGTGGATTTATTAAAGCAACTGTGCATATGATACTGTCATTATTACTAAACACATAAAAAATATCAATAATCAACCCTAGCTTCAACAGTTTGCTGCTTAACAGTGGGATAACTAACAAATAGACAAAGCATTAACATTACGAAGGATCAGCAAACAAAGTTACATATTAGAAAAAAAAGTTTAGAAACACATCTAATGAAAGCCTCATGGTATCAACTGCCCCTTGCCCTCTGCAATCTGCCACCTAGCCTAAGAGATCTAACTTTTAGTTTTTTTAATGTTTTAGATAAAGTGCAGAGGGTGAGCTATTCCTAAATATTGGATGTAATTTTAAGTTAATGACTTCAGCCTTAATACACTCTGTACCCTGTTTTTGACTAGATTTGTTTCATCCATTACTTTGGAGTAATCACTCATAGCTTCCCAAACCTGTTTCTGCAGCCGAGAGTAACTACTATGGAACTACAGGAAAGCCTCACATTTAGGCAAGCGATAACTTGCCAAACTTAACTATGGACAAAAAATATGAAAGGTAGGATGACAGGGGACATGAATTTTAGAAGGTATGAGCTCTAAATGGTTTCAAATTATTTCACTGAATCTGGAGAGGACAATAGAGGAAAGAAAGTTAATAAGTGTTAATAGTTTACATTTCAATTATTATACAACAGATCATTTGAAAAATTGACTTAGAATTTCATAAGTGAACTCAAATCAAATTTGTTTTTCCTTTTCTGTTATTTTTTATATTTTTAAAAATATCACATAGTGATGAAATAGAAAAATAGTCATTTTGATTCAATCTGAAGAGCAAAGGTAACTGCAAAAAAGCAATGGAAAGATCTTGGAATGAATTTGAGACTTATCCAGCTATGACAGGGCTCTTGTTCGTTATTCATATAAAAGAAAGAGACGATGTTTAGAGCTTTAAGTAGGATTGTTCTGCTATCAATATGAGGCTGCTGTTGGTCACATTAAATCACACTACTTCTTAACATTGCTTTTATTAACAAGTCAGCTTTTTATATGAAAGCTTCATGCGTCTAAGTTGCAAATTGTACTGCTACTACTGTGAGTCATGGTGAATGAAAACACAGCAATATTTCAACATATCAGAATTTCCCAAAGGGTGTTCTTTAGAACACAGTTTCTTGCAGTGTTACTAGGTGCTACTCAAAAAAGTTTCTGTGGTCAAATTAATCTGGAAAACACTGGGCTAACTGACAGTAGATATTTGTTGTTTTTCTTTCCCCTGCAAGACATTAAATTAGAGTCTTTGATGAGCTGATGTTCACTAACTTTCTAAGATGGAATGTGTTCTCCAAACTTATTTGATCCTGGAACCCTATATTTAGAAGAGTATCTTTGGAACTTGTATTCTTTGGAACACACTTTGGGAAACACTGGATTCTATTATTTCTACAGCGAACTAGCTCAAAAGTCTAGGTATCAATGATTTAATCCAGAGGCGACTAAACAGATGTGGTATCTAACAGTGATGTCATTTCTCCAGAGCTGGATGACGAATGCTGGTGTGACATGCTAAGGCAATTTTCGGGGACTATTAAGGGATGAACAGTCCAGTGGTGGGTCAAAAGGAGGAAAAAAGAATTTTTGAAATCATTGGAAAAGTTTTATACAAAGTATATATTCCTATACTTTCAAATATACAATGATATGCTGCCTTTTTTTTTTTTTTTTTTTTTTTTTTTTTTTTGAGATGGAGTTTCGCTCTTGTTACCCAGGCTGGAGTGCAATGGCGCAATCTCAGCTCACCGCAACCTCCGCCTCCTGGGTTCAGGCAATTCTCCTGCCTCAGCCTCCTGAGTAGCTGGGATTACAGGCACGCGCCACCGTGCCCAGCTAATTTTTTGTAAGTTTTAGTAGAGACAGGGTTTCACCATGTTGACCAGGATGGTCTCGATCTGTTGACCTCGTGATCCACCTGCCTCGGCCTCCCAAAGTGCTGGGATTACAGGCTTGAGCCACCGCGCCCGGCCAATATGCTGCCTTTTTTAAACACAGACCTTTCATTGACACAACAGTTGCAAGAGAGATCTGGCAACTTAGAGAAAAAAAAATCAAGAAAATCAAGATATATCTGGCAAAAGAAAAAGTGGAATCAAGTTCCTAGAATCACTTCCGATTATATTGAAATGATGATGCCATCACTCTCATGCAATCCTGTTTACCATTTACCCAAAATGATGTAATAATTACACTTGTATGAAATAAGTCCTGTTCTAAATTATTCAGCTTGCATCCTTCACTATTAACAGTCTCCATGTAATACTCTTATGACACATACAAGATTCTAGAAGCCAACACCTCAATCCACAGCAAGGAATAAAATGCAGCCACTGGTTACCAGTAATATCTACATATGCACACAGATATGTCACAATAGAACAGCGATTCAGAACTAATTGCCTTGGGGCAAGTTGGTCATATAAAATAAATGCAGGTCTTGGGTACAGTTTTGGAGCTTTCTATATAAGTATTGTTTATTCCTATGATGAAAGAATTGCAAATACAATTAATTCAAAAAAATTTTCCCTAGCTGCCCCTCCCCAACCCATGTTAAGAGTACAAATTGCCAATGGAGCTGCAGCAGAGCACTGCATTAGTGGAGACCTGGGCTTGGCATTCTGCTGGGGTCTCATAAGCACATGGCCATTCCCATCATAACTTCTAAAAGACTGTAAAACCATCCCAAAATTTGGCACCAAGGGGACTGTTGGCAATTTGAACTTGAGCTAGCTAGAGAGTCTAGGAAGCCTTGGGTGACAATTCCAAAGCTTTGGCAGTGCAGCTTAGGGAAGCTTCACATGCAAACATCTCAAATCAATTTCCCTAATGGCTAGATTCAGCATTCCCGGGTCCCTGGGGAGCAGCCAGTGTGCCACAGGGCACCCCAGGAGTGATATCTACAAATCCCCAACAGCTGGAAAAGGGCTAGGGAGAGAGAGGTCCAGGAGGAAGGGAACAAAATATTCTGATTTTAGATACAACTATCATAACTATTAATGTAACTGCTACAATTTTGCCTAGAACTTATATGTTTTGAAAATCTACAAGCCACAGTAGAGGGGAAAGAGGCAGTAAAGGGAGTAGGATATGTACACTCTATTTGGTTAACATCAAAAATGAAATAATTGTACAAAGCAAAATTTAGAAGATGCCTTGTGAACCTCAGTTAGAGAGAAAGTTTGTAATTTGTGCACCCAGCACCATCTGTTAAGAAATTTTGCAGGACCCGTAAACACTGATTTACTAATTTAGTAGCTTTTCTTTTTCGTCTTTATCAAAACACTGCTGCTTTCATTTTAGACAATAAAAATAACTGTGGAATTTAAAAATGTCTTTTCCTTGCTATTATACACTTTTGTGCTACATTAAAAATAAAGTTGGCCATAGGCTGTAAAGTGCTGACACCACTTATGCTGATTTCAGTTCGATGGTGAGTGGGGGCAACTCTCAGGCATCAGAACGTCCTGAATCTCCAAGCAAACTCAGCCGCCTGGCCTGGCCGTCTCAGCACTGCTCACAGCCAGCATTTGTTTTCCACATTCCCTTCCCCGTCACCACCCCAAATATTGATACACACAGCCACATATTCAGTGTCTTTCCATAGGCAAATGCTTAAATCTAAAATGTACTAGAAGATTCTATGGCTAAAAAATAACCAAGGTTCTAACTGTAAGGCTGGAAAATACAGTATACAAAAGTAAGCAAATCTCGTGGGAAACCATTAGTAATTCTCAGTGTAGTCAAAGAACAGTAAGTGCTTGGAGGACTCAAGACAGATTGCAGCCCTTCGCAACCACAAGGCAGTCTCTTCACTCTCTCAAGTTCTCTCCTGGACACTGCTTTGGAAAAGCTCTACAGCAGCAGGAGGGGAGAGGGCAGAGCTCCATGGGGAGGAGGTGGTGGATAAATGAGGACTATGGGAAGCTGTAACCACAAATGGACACAGGGAAAGAATAAAACCAGGTGGATACAGAGGGGTGGGAGGCAACGAAAGTTTTGTTTGTTTGAGTCAGGCAGAGAGTCACATAAAATAAATGCAGGTCTTGGGAGGTATTTTATAATTTAATTTAGAGAAAATTAAATTATAAAATACCATGTTTGGAGAAATGATACATTAGTGATATAGGAAATGGAGGGGCAAGCCAGGCCCCAAAATAATTCTGGCCCACTTGTCAATATGGGTTCCTGCTTGAATTCTCAACTTGCTGTGTTGCCATTGCCAGGTCCCTCTGCTGCCTTCCCCGCAGGCCACAGAGGGCGGTTTGTGTTTGCCTGTGGAAAGCGACCTGATGTGGATGGAGATTTGCAACCAAATGATAAAGGCTGCTTGCTGCCTTTTCATTGGACGAGAAGGTCGTCCCAGTAGTTTCCCACCAAATTCCAAGCTGCAGTAGCTGTGAACTCTGTACCTAGCTTTGAGGAACACACATACAGTTCTAGGCTGCTGCTTCTCAGAACACTGCCTGAAACACACTTGAACGCCACTAGGAAAGGGGCCAGGAAAAACACACAAAAGTGGCAGCTGGAGCTCAGTGAACATTCCTTCCTCAATGCAAACAACTTACCTGCCAGGGAACTCTGTGACTCATTCAGTTTCGTTTCCTTCATCTGCCATTGAAAATGGAAGGAAACATCATTTTGGCTTGATTTTGTCATTTCCCTTAACATGGTTTCTTGGTCATGTAAGATGAAAAATCATGGTGTCTGTTGGTGAATTAACAGCTGCCTGTTACATACGGTAAGGACTAAGCAAAAGATTTCAGTCATGCATGATTAGGATAAATGCACAAAGGCTGGTCAGGTGGTATATAAAGTCTGTTTAACTAATAAAGGAAGCAAGGGAAAAGGGTCATTTCTGCGTGTAGGCAGCTGCCACTGGTCTCCCATCCTTTCTGCTTCTCTCAGTCTCCAAGAGCAGCCAAAATAAAAACCATTCCAAATCTGCTTCCAAGCTGCCTCTGAGCAGAAAACAGGGGCTCAGAAGGACAAAGCATCCTTAGGACAGCTCTGTCTCTTGGCAGAGAGTGTTGCCACATCAGCTCCTGACCACTCACAGGTGACACAGTGGCCTGTCTCCTGCAGCACTGGGAGGCCTGTCCTGTTCACTGTTTCAAAGAGAGGACACAACAGCTGATGCCTGGAGGACCCTGAACAGGATATTGAAGAATCCTGGGGGAGACTAAATGGCACATATGCTATTCATTTCATATACGCGAATCTACAGCTATTTATTTATATATTTTGGACACTGAATGAAAGAGTTGGGAAAACATAAAGAAACCATTTTCCAGCTTCTTAACTACATTGGCTAAGGGCACCCTCAGTTCATCACTGATTATAGACCTAAGACCACCAGGGAGGGGGGAATCCCATGTCTGGGATGGATGATCCTAATTACAACTCCCACACTTTTCACTAAATTAAAAGAGACCAGTGTGTTGAAAGTCCTTTAGTCTAAGGCAGCTGAGACCCCTGAAGGGTTCACTGCTCTTCTGTTTTGCTGCTATTCCTGAACTTCACCACCATGACTGTTATATTGTCAGGGCAGCCTCTGTAAAATGACTGTAAAACTATGCTCTTGGCCCCAAAGTGAGGTTCATCCAAGCGCTCCTTGATGAATCGAACTGCTTCTTCATTGCTGAAAGCATCCCAGAGGCCATCTGATGCCAAGATCATGAACTCAGGCTGAAGCTTGTCCAAGTCAAAGGTCAGGATGTCTGGATCTGGGATGACGACGTTGAGATTTTTCAGCGGATAATCCCCCAGGGACCGAGACATGGCCAGGATTCCCTGGACCCTCCAGGAGCCATTGAAACTGATGAAACCACCTAGAAAGACAGGATGAGCCCATTAGTTTAACCAGCTGATGTCTCACATACCTGGGATAGTCTAGGTGTGTGTGCAACAGGGTGACTTATTTCATGTGAGCTGGGCCATGGGCACTCCTTTTAACCCCATCACTCCCAGGACCTGCTGCATGGCATAACTCTACCACTTGATCTTCATACCCTCATCCTGGCATCTTGAAGAACTTCAAGAATATATCAATAAGAGTACTGAAGGTAGGGGATACATACGGCGGAGGGCACTGGTTTTAACTTAACACCATGGTGGCTCAGTGATTGACAGTAAAGAACATGAGGGTAGGGATTCGAGGAGAGTGGCAAAGGAATGCTGAAAGGCAGGTGAACAGGCACGAGGACACCACTGGTATACATCATTTGGTCTGAGGCCACCCTTATATGTGCCTACATAGATCTCAAAACAGCTCTCTCCCCCTAAATAGGACCAAGATTAAGAAAAAGCACATACAAGGGCAGTAATGAAAGGCTCAGGTCAGATTACTTGGATTTAATTCCTGGCTCTGTCTCTTCTAGCCATGTGCTACTTTGAATGAGGAACTCTTTCTCTGATCCTCAGTCTCCCTGGCTACAAAATACAGTATCTATTTCATTGGCTTGATGAGAAATAAAGGTCTTATTCCACAGAAGTCATCTGGCATAGTCCCTGAACATATTATGCACTTAATAATTGTATCTATTATTTTTGTCTTCATTCCCATATTTGTCAGATATTTACTGAATATCTACTCTATACAAGGCAATGTGCAGGATATGAAGTTATACCAGATCCAGGCCTTCCCTTAAAAAATTAGCCAGCCTGGCAGGAGAATTAAGTCACAAATATTAAATACTGTAAGCACAAAGTGGTATTCTTTCAGGAGGAGACTAGTGTCTGCTAAATGCTGTAGGCAGATGGAGAAGGGAGGGGTGATTTCCAGTCCTGATGATGAGGGAGGAGCGAACATTAAAGGTGGACTTTGAGCGATGTGTAAAACACCTGTGAGCAGGATCTGTAAGAGAACATTCCAGGAAGTATGGTCTGGTAGGCAAGAGCATAAAACCCAGTTTTGGGTTTCAACCCTGGTCTCACTATTCACTAGCTTTGTGTGCTTGGGCACATAAGCCTCTGTGAAGTTCCAGTTTGTTGGCCACAAAATGAGAACAATATTATCACCTCTTAAGACAGGCACAGAGAAATTATGTAAAGTGCTGGGCTTTGCTCCTAGCACAGGGTGAGCACACAATAAATGACAGCTAATGTTGTCGGAAACAGTGTAAGGAGTGGCCACAGAAAGACCAACATGTATTTGGCCCAAACTGGCTGGACCTTACTGTCATGCTAAGCAGGAGGGGGAAAGATGTCCTGAAAAGAGGCTGAGGTCAGAGAAAACACACATGAAGATAGTAAAACCAGCTGGGCGCAGTGGCTCATGCCAGTAATCTCACACTTTGGAAAGTGGAGGGGGTGGATCATGAGGTCAAAAGATCAAGACCATCCTAGCCAAAAGGGTGAAACCCACTATCTATTAAAAATATAAAAATTGGCTGGGTGTGGTGGCATGCGCCTATAATCCCAGGTACTTGGGAGGCTAAGGCAAGAGAATCACTTGAACTGGGACTTGGGAGGCAGAGGTTGCAGTGAGCTGAGATTAAGCCACTACACTCCAGCCTGGTGACAGAGTGAGGCCTCAAAAAAAATAAGATGGTAAAACCAATCACTGTTTCTTAAGCCTTGCTATAAAATACACCCTTGATCAAATTACGTAAAAGAACAGAGGTTAGATTAACCTCCTTGGAGATGGTGTCCAAATTTGCTTCTATAAAGAATCAATATAGGGTACAGGCATGGGTAGTGGGTATAGCAGGGAAGAAGAGGAAGGATAAAATGGTCAAGACAATTCAGAAGAGAGCACTGAACGGTAAAATGAGATTTTCAGGTGTATCGTGTAACATCCTTGCCTGTGCTGATGCAAGAGTGGGCTAACTGTATACTCACAGTGGACTCTTACAGGGAGATGGTGTCTTTATAAGTAGGAAGCAAGAGAACTTTGCTCCTACTGCCTGGAGGTCATCAAAGCTTGATCGATGCTCCTAAAATATCCTTTGTTCCATATCATCAACAGAAAACCTGACCAATGCTTTCCTTAAACATTTTGCAACTCAAGCAGTCACTGAAGCAGGAGGTTGTAATACAATTCAACACATTTTGACTTAACAGTATGGTTCCCTACTGTGAAAATTCAAATGTCGATCAGGTTCATTCAATTCATTCATTGGGCAGAAACTGACTATAGAGATAGACAGTCAATGTGCAGAGTAACCCAGACAGCACGGGCCCATCCTGGTGAGAGACTAGTGTACACAAGCACCCAACTTGCTCCCCTCTGACTGCTGGCCGGTTGCCTGGCACATCACAAAGAGCATGCATCCTCCAGCTATCAGTCTGAGGAGTGAAAGAATTCTTGCCTTCCATAGGTATAAAGGTATCCTCTGAAATCGAATTATGAAAATGTAATAATCAACTGATATCCTTCGAGTCTTTGTCCAAACGTCACTCTAGCAAGGTCTACACAGGCCACACTACTTAAAACTGCAACTCCCTGGCTGGGCACAGTGGCTCACACCTGTAATCCCAGCACTCTGTGAGGCTGAGCTGGGAGGATCTCAAGGTCAGCAGATCGAGACCATCCTGGCCAACATGGTGAAACCCCATCTTTACTAAAAATACAAAAATTAGCTGGGCGTTGTAGCACATGCCTGTAATCTCAGCCACTCTGGAGGCTGAGGCAGGAGAATAGCTTGAACCCAGGAGGTGAAGGTTGCAGTGGGCCAAGATCACACCAATGCATTCCAGCCTGGTGACAGAGTGAGACAGTCTCAAAAAACAAAACAAAACGGAACAAAACATCCTGCAATTCCCCAACACTCCCTCCCCTTACCTGTTTCATGTCTTTCCATAGCAGTTACCACCTTCTAATACACTATAAGACTCACTTATTTTTACTCATTTTTTTGTTAATGTCTATTTCCTCTATTCCCCACCCCCCATGCCAATTTCAGAATGTAAGTTTCATGAAACAGCAAGCCCATTGGGAATGGGCTTTGTTTTATCCCCAGCTCCTAAAATACTGAATAAACAGATGAATGAATGAATGAATGAATGAATGAATGAATGAATGAATAAGGGATCCCTCTACCCATAACCTTGCTCTGAAATATTTACTTATACTAGGCACTAAGCCAGATGCTCAAGGTATAGAGATGAACAAAACCAAGTTCCTGCCTTTAAAGAGGTGACAGGAAGGCAGGGCAGATAGGAGAGCCAGGTATGTTCATGTATTGTAAGAGGTGACCCAAGACGTCCACATAGGATGCTGGGGAAAGGCAGAGGGATATTCACCCCAGACTGGGAAGGCCCTTGCCACAGTGTGACACAAAAGGCTTCCAAAAGAATACCTTAAACTGAATCTTATGGGACAAGTAATTGTCACCTAGAACAGCACTTGCAAAGGCATGGAGGTATTTTGAGGAATGGTTAGTAGTTTGGCATGGCTCCAAGGGAAGCAGCGTATAGCAACAGGCTAGAGAAAGGTGAGGCCCAGGGGCCCAAAGATCTTCTTAGCCTTTAAACTGGAAATGGGCTTTTGAGTTCTTTTGGAATCTTTGGCTAGGAAGAAGGGCAGATTTAGTGGCCATTTATTTGATAGGCAACGTTACAAAGCCAGTTTCAGTTACCTCAGTAGCAGCCTCTTTATAGATCTAATACAGGGTAACTGAACGTTTATCCAGGAACCTTCCATGCAAGCTGCCTTGTCACCAGCAAGACAGTAGACATTTCTTGGAGATGTTCACAAGCTTACCTGCTCTCTTTATCCTTTTTCGTTCTTTCAATTGGTAAGGCTTGTGATCATGAGACAAAGGAATAGCGTTCCCATCTTTGTCACACAGGACCCCACGCGAGTCACCCACGTTGGCCACGGTGAGGTCTTTATCTGACAGCAGAGCAATCAAACATGTTGTGCCTGAAAAATAGAAGACAGACAACGTGGGAGGTCAGCAATGCATTCAGATTCTACTGCTCCTTGTGGTAACCGATTCTTCAGTCATTAAAATTGCTTCTGCTGGGTGAGAATCTGACTCCAGCCACTCTGGGAATGATGGCTGTTCACTTCGACAATGATCAAATCTGACAGTCAATTTTCTTAACCATGTTAGAGTGTCACTAAAATAGGCTAGGAAAACATTATAATTTTCCTAAATCATTTTGTCTCTGTTACTCTTAATTTAAACATGTAGCACATTTAAAAGGATTAGGAGAGAAACAAAATCAGTTTGACATTTCAGTCAGTTGATACACATTTTAGGCTTCTGCTTGGTGCTGAGTTTCTGGGAAGTCCCAGTTGGAAATGGGAAGAATGGAGGGTGTGGTGGGCTTCTCGTTTCTAGGAGGGCCTAGAAATACCAATAGCTGAATCCTGTGGAACATGAGAAGCTGCTGATGTCAGGACAGGTTGAGGTTGCCTATTCAAAGTCTGATAACAAAGACTGATGGCCAGAAACAGGTCAGCTCCAGGGTGTGATGGAGGCAGAACATAAAGGCAGAAGCAGAAAAAGCTCTGGTGATGACAGAACCGAGGCCTAGGGAAAAGGTGGTCCGAGTCAGAAGCAAGCAAGACTGAAGACCTGCTTGCCTGAAGCACACACAAGACATGAAGGACAAACACTCCTCAAATTCTTTTTAAAATGGGAATGGACAAAAGCAAACAGAGTTGAACAGTCTGGTCTAGTTGCAGCCTTCTCTATCCAGCTCCTTTCTGTTCACCTCTTCTTTTTGACAGTGCCATTCCATATGCAAATACCAGCTGAAATGCACAACCTGTTCAGCTCTTGCCTCAAACATATCTCCCTTACTTGTTAAAATTATGCATTAATTAGTCTTCATTAACATTTCATTCCTCGTTAAGGTCATATTCCATAAGAAAAATGTAAACTGTATCTAAATGGTGCTTAAGTTTTCATGGAACAACAAAAAAGACTAATTTTTTTTCTTTTTTTAAGAGACTGGGTCTTGCTCTGTGATCTGGGCTAGAGAGCAGTGGTGTGATCATAGCTCACTGAAACCTCAAATTCCTTGGCTTAAGCAATTACCCCACCTCAGTCTCTGGAGTAGCTGGGACTACAAGTACAGGCGTGGTAATGGCTTGAAAACAAACACTAAATTCTTTTTTTTTTAAATTTTACTTTAAGTTCAGGGAGCCATGTGCAGAATGTGCAGGTTTGTTACACAGGAATACACGTGCCATTGTGGTTTGCTGCACCCATCAACCTGTCATCTAGGTTTTAAGCCCCACATGCATTAGGTATTTGTCCTAATGCCCCTTCCCCTTGCTCCACACTCCCAACAGGCCCCAGTGTGTGATGTTCCCCACCCTGTGCCCATATGTTCTCATTGTTCAGCTCTCACTTATGAGTGAGAACATGTGGTGTTTGGTTTTCTGTTCCAGTGTTAGTTTGCTGAGAATGATGGCTTCTGGGTTCATCCATGTTCCTGCAAAGGACAACTCTTTCATTCTTTTTTATGGTGTAGATGTGCCACATTTTCTTTATCCAGTCTATCACTGATGGGCATTTGGGTTAGTTCCAAGTCTTTGCTTGCAATAGTGCTGCAATAAATATAAATGTGTATGTGTCTTTATAGTAGAATGATTTATAAACCTTTGGGTATATACTCAGTAATGGGACTGCTGGGTCAAATGGTATTTCTGGTTCTAGATCCTTGAGAAATCACCACACTGTCTTCCACAATGGTTGAACTAATTTACACTCCAAACAACAGAAAATAAACACTGAATTCTTAAATAGACATAAAAAATAAATATAAGTTGATATTAAAAGCAGAGAGATTAAAATAATTATCAGAATCAGTTATTATAGTTCTGCTTGAAAATTCCATTCTTAAGCTCATTTAACTAAAAATGCCTTGATCAGATACGGAACAAACACATGAAATGTTGGTTAACGCAGGATTTCTAATACAAAAGACTTTGGGGGAAAAGGCTAGTCTCATGGATTATCAAAGCAATTTTTAAAAGCGATAAGAATGAAAATGTAAGCAAAAGCACAATCCAAACAACTAGAAATTGTTGTTCTCAGTTTTTGATATTGTTTTTTCAATATTGGAAACTGAAATTTTGGTCTTCAACATATCCTTACTTTGTCTTCAAGTATCTGATTGAGTTAAATTGTCCCACACAGTCATGGCATAAATTCTCCTATAAGGCACATTCTTAGAGTTTGAAAGGTAAAATAGAAAGATTGCTTCACGGGATATTACATGCTTGTAGGCATTACTTCAGCATCTCTCTTGGAGTCCTCTCTCTATAGGACCCTCTTCCCTCTCACGCTGTGCTTTCTGGGTGAGCATGTCGCTGACCTTTACTTCCACACAATCTAAGTCTATGCAGCTAGCCTGGCTGACACTCAGCTAGCCTGAGGTCTACACTAACTGCCTAGTAGGTGTTTCCATTTGCCTATACTCCAGGGGATCCAAGGAAAGGCTTTAGGGCCTCCATGAGAGGGAAGGGAAGGAATCTACCTGGCTGAGTTAAAGACTCCTTCCGCAGCTGCTTTTCAACTAGGACAGCTCTACATCTACCTGTTAACAGCTAACAAGTGAGCTGCCATGCAAAATTTCTTTTCAAAAAGCGACAAGGAGTCATTCCTGTAGCCAGAAAAAAAATTAAAATTTAGTTCCATATTTGATTAAGAATCACTGAAGGGTTTTAAGCAGGCTAGTGACACAATGAGATTCATGTTTTAAAAGATGATTCCAGGGGCAAGGTAGAAGACAGATAAATTGGGAGCAGTGAGAACAGGTAGGGTTAATGAGGATCTGAATTAATGTAGCAAATATAAGGATAAAGGATAGGTGATTGGTTCTTATTTTTTATTTTGTAGAGATGGATTCTCAGTATATTGCCCAGACTGGTTTTGAACTCCTTGCCTCAAGTGATCCTCCTGCTGGCCTTCTACAGGGCTGGGACTATGGTCGTGGGCCACTTTGCCCAGCTCCTGTGACAAGTTTTTAAAAGCCAGAATAGATCAGTCATAGAAATTGAGAAGAATAAAAGATAAGGGAAGAAGTTTAGTATAATACCCTTATATCTAGATGGGAGAAACTGGGCATTCTATGGACGCAAGAAATGTCTGCTGGGGCTTCTGAGAAAGGCTTTCTTTTCCACTAAAAGAGGCACAGAGCAGACAATGACTGTTTATTTGGCCTAGTGTTAGCCTATGTGTTTCCCAGAAGTGTGGCAGCCATCTTCCAGCAATGAAGGGATATCCCTTAGGGTCATGAGTGCAGTGAGTGCAAGAGGTGTAGAGCACAGAGGTAAACAGGAAAGAGCCTGAGTCCCAGAGAATATCAGGGACAGCTAAGTCAGCCTAGAACTGCCCGGTCCTTGTTCTATGAGAAAATAAATGCCTTTCTTATTTGAGACTTTTTGAGTTGAATTTTTTTGTTGTTGTTCCTTGTAATATCTGAATTTGATGAGAGATTTAGAGTGTGGCTGTTTAGCTACACAGCTGTCCTTTGGTATCTGCTGGGGATTGGTTTTAGCACCCACTACTGATACCAAAATCTATGGATAGCCAAGTCCCTTATATAAAATGGCTTAGTATTTACATATAATCTATATACATCTTCTTGTATACTTTAAATCATCTCTAGATTACTTTTAATTCCTCATACAATATAAATGCTATGTAAATAGTTGTTATATTGTTTTTAAATTTATATTATTTTTTATTGCTTTAAAAAATATTTTTGATCTGTGGTTGGTAGAATCCACTATGTAGACCCCATGGACATGAAGGGCCAACTGTACTCATACACTATTGAACAAACTTAAGATTTATGATCGGACCTTGTCAAAAACAAATCCTACTGTTTCTATGGGTAAATTAATATCTAGCTAATGGTGAAGTTTTCAGGAATATACTGCCTATGTTAGCAACAGAATCTTAGACCTGGCCAAGATGGGTGAGACCCAGATGGCAGGGTTAAGAGTTACAGGTAGTATTCTGAATTACCGAAGTGTCTCCATTCCCCTCTCTACAGAGGAAACCTGCGCCTATCCTGAGTGAGGTCTGTGTGGTTGTGGAGACATAATATGTGCTAAGCAATGCTGAGCACTGGGGTGGGGAGGCTCAAGAATGATCTGAAACAAATCAGGACACCACAACCAATGTATTGTTTGGGCTTTGCAGTTTTAGCTCAGGATTATAACAGACAGCTTACAATCTAATCTTACTTGACAGAACAAACTGCTTGTTGCTAGGAAACTCCAGAAAAAAAAACATTTTATCAAAGATAAATGAAAAAAATCATCTTCTTTTTAATGCTTGAGACAAAACACTTGCAGATTCTGGCTATTAATTCTGAGCTAAAACATTTATTCCATCATAGCACTATATTTATCAAAAATACCAGGGCCTGACAATGTTACTTAATTCTGAACCTCGGGATATTTCTTTTTTTTTTTTTTTTTGAGATGGAGTTTCACTCTTGTCCAGGCTGGTGGAGATATTTCTATATTAACAATTTAATCTAGATAATAACTTAATTCCAAATCTGGAAGAGACCTTGGAAATCTAACCTAATAACCTTATCTCACAGGTTAAAAAAATCCCAAGAAGTTAAAAAAAAAAAAGTGAATTCACATGGACTAGACTTCAATGTCCTAGCTAAATGGGGTTTGGCAAGTTTTTTGACTTTTAAGCCTCAGAAAATGGCATGATAATCTACTCCATTGCTCAAGCCAGAACCTAAGAATCATCTTCAATTCTTCTCTTTTCCTCTTTCCTCACATTCAATCCATCACTAAGTTCTGCTACTCTTACCTCTAAAATATATCTTAACCCCTTCCAGTTCTGTTGTTCTCATTGCATTGACTCCAGCCCAAACCACTGTCATTTTAGCTCCTCATTATTCAGTGGTCCAGGTGAGAAACAATGGTGGCAA